GCTAAAATCCATAAAATCCGCAAAATTGCATTATTCGCATTCTGTTAACCCGTGTTTTCTCGTAAACCTCATAAAATCTGCAAAACCAAATTTCTAAAATCATGTGTTTCTGCTAAATATGCAAAAACACATTTTTTGTTAAACCAGCATTTTCTTGTAAAAGTATATTTTCTGCTAAGACTTATAAAACCAGCTAAACCTTGTAAAACCCGTAAAATCTACAAATTTTTGTTTGTCAAATCCGCAAACCCATGATTTCCGGCAAAAAATTCATTAACAAACCATGAAAAAATTATTTACATAATATTTTTTTCATAGTTTGTATATATGTAACCAAAAAATATTCATCATTGACTATAAATTATCACATTTAATAAATATCATATTAGCTTTTAAACATTTTAAAGTAGTGCTTTTTTTTAATTGTATAGAGAAGAAAATGATTATAATATAATATATAATTAATTTATAATATAATATATAATTATATCAATTATCCATGCCATATATATTTGTGATAATTATGTTAAGATATTATGAAATATTTTAAAATAATTTTGAAATTAAATTAATTTAAATTTTATTAAATATCAGATATAATTTATTAGTATTATCTGTTAACAAAATAATATAATTTAATTTAATATATTTTTAGTGGTTTAATGATATGACTAAATTATCCTTAATGAATTAATGAAATAATTTTAAAATTAAATTAATTTAAATTTTATTAAATATCAGATATAATTTATTAGTATTATCTGTTAACAAAATAATATAATTTAATTTAATTTAATGCATTTTTAATGGTTTAATGATATGACTCAATTACTCTTAATGAATTAATGAAATTGTCTAGTAAATGTAATGGCATATATTATAAATATCATGGTAGCTTTTAAACATTTATTAAAAATGATTCTCTTTTAATAGTTTAGATTGTAAAAGTTTGCGCTCCATATTTTAGATTCGTTGTTATATATTTGGTGGTTATGTTATTTTGGTTGGTGCTGTGTTGTTCTTTGTTCCTTCATCTCAAGCCCAATATACAAGTGTCTTTTTTTTTTTATCGGAATATACAAGTGTCTTTGTATGTACAGATAAGTAAGTACATATATTTTTAAAAAGGATAATTGATTTTTCAAATAGAATTTTGTGAACAGAAACCAATAGATAGATAGTTGAAAGTTGTAACAAAACAACAATTTTAATAAATTATTCAATGATCACTACTTGGTCGAATTTAGAAACTATGAAGAAGTTGAAAGAACACACAACAAAAACTCATGAAAAGAGTCAAATAAAAATCGAAAAAGCAAATTAAAAATCAAAATTACCAAATCGGTTAAGGCATCGCAAAAAACACAAGAAGGTTCATCAAAACGCAAACCGGAAAATAGCTTTTTAATCTCGTAGAAGAATCAGATTTCTTCATCTTAATCCCTTTCTTGTTAGCTTTAAGTCCATCTCTGTTGACTTCAACATCAGCACCAACCTCAATCCCATACCTCTTTGTTTTCCAGAAAACAATCTTGAACCTCACCTTTGTCTTCAGATCCAACCGGAAAACCGCCGAACCATTAGGCAAAACCGCTCGTAAAACCTCCTGGCTATTAGAAGGAAGAACCTGACCCCACTTCTTGGCCTTCTTCTTGTGTCCTTGGTAGAATTTAGGCACTGTGGAGTTAGCAAGAAGAGCAGTTGAATTGGTCGTGGTGTTGGTGTTGGAGAAGGAAAGGTGGACATCGTCGTAGTAGATTCCTTGGTCTTTGTTTGGATTTGCGAAACGAACCATGAAATTGAGAGTGGTGTTGAGTCGTGAATTGGGAGTTTGGTTGAGGGCAGGAACGTAAAAGTATTCGATCGAGCATTTGGGTTTGTCGGGACGGAGACTGAGCCATAAGAAGAGAGAGGTGAGACCAGCCGTGAAGATGAAGCTAAAGCAGCAGCTACAACAGTTTCTTCCACCATGGTCTCTGTCTTGATCTAGATCCATTGATGAGTTTCAAGAATTTTTTTATCTTCTTTTTGTCTGAAAGATTGAAGAATTTTTTTATCTTCTTTTTGTTTGAGAGATTGAAGATGTTTATAGATTCTTTGTTCTGCTGGTTGAGATTTCTTTTTTAGCTGATATTCCAAGTTGACTCTCAGAGACGACGACTTAGTAGCAGACACACACGCGCTAAGCCAAAAACAAATTAATGGACGTAAGGAATTATATATTAAAATTATCCTTATTAAGAACCAAAATTAGAAACAACTAGGGATGTTCAATAACAGAAACTCGAATGTTATTCCATTTTTTTATATATATATTATAAGAGAAAACAAAAGAAAAGAAAACTACTATTGAAATCAACCTTTTAAGTTTTTAACACCAAAATGTGTAAGAACTAAGAAGCTATGTTTTTTTTTGTTTTTGAAATAAAAGAATGGTGAAATAGTATAATGATAGGGCTTTTTAGTGTAATAACTATATTGGAGAAAGAATCAGAGAATATAGCTATGTTGTTTAGGAAATTAGATAAGTAAATATGGCCCACATAGAAATTACAATACATTCCTTCGATTTTTAAGCAAAACATATACTGCGATATATTTTTTGACGTCATTGCTGTATATGGTAGTAGATTATTTTACTCTAAAACTTATACCATCACTTCTATACTATAACTAATGAGTTCTATATTATTTGAAAATGTGCAATCTAGTAGTATAATTGTAACTGCAATACTATACTATTTTTAATTTAGGAGTATAATGATCGGTGAAATGATATAGAACCGGAAGCTCTTGTACTATATTATAGTAGTGTTGTTGTATACTGAACATATAGTATGGTATAGTCTCATAGTAAACCATACATTATTAAAGATATACTATATATTCAAATAAGAAAATAAATTATTAGAAACAATAGTCCATATAGTGTAACTTTAGTGATGTTTAATATAAACTAATACGGTTTGTGTTTATTATTTTTCAATAACATATTGAAGTGCTATCCTTTTCAATAACTGAAGTGCGATCTAACGTCAGCATTTATTTTTCACTCCATTTTAAACAAAGGAGTTTTTGGTATATATTGTAAAATATATAAGAAATATAATAACACCTACTTTAGTGTGGTTATTTTCTGAATTATAGTATTTGATATGGTTATATCAGCCAATTTCCCATAATGATATCTTTATAAAAATAAGATATCATTATTGTAAATTGTAAAACATCAATTTATCACAACATGTTTTCTTACAAATAATTGGCCTGGCCCAAGGTTTTTGACCGTACTAGACCAATCAAAAATCCAAAGCATTTTCTTTAGATATATTTGTATGACCCCACTTTTGTTCCTTTCTCGTAAATGCTGAAATTTGATATTTCTCACTCACATCAATTCTTCATCTGTTGATCAGTGATCTCTCAAATCTACACCCACTAATGACCAATCCACTATATGTAAACTCTCAGTTTTACAAATTGAATAATAAAAACATTATACTGATAAGTCGTATTTTATTTGGGTCAAAACACTAAAACATGTAGGTTGTTCTAGTGACTGTATTATCACCATTCGAATTCAAAGCATATGGCATGTTATTGAAATGTTGTATTAAAAAACATGTTATGGTTATCAAACAAACTAAACTAAATAATTTTAAAATTAAACTGAATGTATATTTTTGGGGGAAATAAACCTGAAAATGAATTAAATCCATATTCATCGTAGAAACTAGAAAGATAGAAGGGGTTCGCCCTAATGCTCTTTTCTCTCTCTTCTTCAAAGTAATTCATCTGAATTTTTTCCAGCGGCCAGCGTGTGCCTGCTCCTTCAGAGCCAGCGCTGGTCTATTTCCCCTGCTTTTTTCTCTGCTTTCCTTCTGATTAACACAGAATCTCTTTTCCTCTGGGCATGATTTCGGTTTTATGAGTTAATTTTTCAGATCGGGCCAGTTCTTCGGGGTTTTCCCAGATCTGTTGGCTAGATCTGTCTTTTCCAGTGGTTTGCTTCGTTTGCTTGGTGACGAATCTTCCCTCTACTTCTTTGGAGACTAGTTCGGGTCTTCTTCCTTGGAGTTTGGTGTTATTCGGGTTGGACCATTCGCTCTCTGGCGCTTCCTTACATATCTGTTCGTGATCTCTTCTCAGCTTCTTTCTCGGTGTTTCTAGTCGTGCCGTTCGACTTCGCCGTTTCCGGAAGATCACTGGTTCTTGCCTTGCCGGATATTGAAGTTTTGATTTTCTAGAATCAAAAGGTAGGCTTGGTGGAGGAATTTGTTTATCGTTAGTGAGGTCGGGGACCTGTTCGATAATTCCTTGGGTTTTCAGAAGTATGGAAGATTTGTTGGTTGGTGGATGTTGTAATTACTGGGTTAATTCTTCTTAATCGGTTTGTGTTTTGGTTTAAAATCTGTGTTAGTCTTAGTTTTCTTCCTTGTTTTCTTCTTCTGCATTAGTCTTTGTGTTCCAAAAATGTATCCTTCCGGTTGGTTAATGAAAATATTCAGATGACCAAAAAAAGAATTAAATCCATATTCGGTTTAGTAAAAAATCTGAATTGAAACATAACTAGAATTTAAATTATTCTGGAATCCAAGTAAATATAAGAACAGAGTTTGTTTCATTTCGAAAAAACAATCGAAGCGGTTTTTAGTTAATAAACAAATATGAAACTCTCTTCCAAAATTAGCAAGTGCCCTAACACACACACAATCTTACATGTCTATCCGCGTGACAACCAAACAAAACCAGAGGCTCATATCAAAAATACCTATTAAGGCCTCTTCTTCTCCAACCATCTTCCTTTCTCTGAATTAAAACTTTTGGATTTTGATCTTTTATACAGGTTTCCTCACACTTACACCTTAATCGTTTGATTCAATCTCCGTCTTTGTTAGAAGGCTTGGTTGATTCCTTGTTCTCTCTTTTCTCTCGCTGCCTTGCGGTTCAAGTAATCACAAGGCGGTGAGGAAGAAGAAGAAAAAATCTAAATTCAAACGATGAAGGCCATCGAAGTTAAAACAGGGATGAAGATATCTTGGGACGCACGCTATTCATTAAGTCTATTGATTTTACTATCATCGATTCTTTCTCTGTGCAACGGCCAAGATTATGGAATGCCGGGCGAAGACGGAGCAGGAGGAGGCGAGCCGCCGCCTGAGATGGCGAATTGCAACGGTATTTTCCTGAGCTATAGCTTTGGCAGCCGCGAAAGAGAGTACCCGCACGTCAAGAACGTGACCGCGCAATCGTGGGCGTTTAAATCGTCTGCGATGATTGTAAACGCGGGTAGGGAAGAGCTTAAGGGATGGCAAATGTTCATAGGGTTTCGTCACAAGGAGCTGATCGTTTCTGCAACTGGTGCGGCTCTAATGGACGGAGATTATCCTCTGGATGCTAGCAATGGAACCACGTTCGTCGGAACGCCAAACACGGATTTGAAAACATCGATTGAAACCGCCGGTGATTTCACTCAGATATCAACGAATATCGAAATCACCGGGACTCTTTTCGGAGTTGCAAAAGGGGTCACACCAATGCCGAGAACTATTAAGCTCAACAACGACGGTTGGGAATGCCCCGCCGCAAAGAGAAAAGGTTAGATCAAACTAGTCTCGATTGTTTCAAACGCAAGTAATTTATGTTTACATAAATCTCTTTTGAATCGAGTATCTTTTGAAAATTATTGACCAATGCAAAACGTAATCTCGCATTTACATTTGAAATTTAGTAAGATAATTCAATATAAAGAAATGAATGTGATTTTCAAACGGTGAGTTTGATTTCTTGTGCAGGAGGAAATATGCACGTTTGTTGCAAGAGAAACCCTAAGTTCAAGGTCAAGACTGGGCCAAGGACAAAGTTTGCACCGAGAAGGTACGGTGATCTGAACATAGTCTACGACGTTCTGCAATCATTCGACAGCAACTACTTAGCCCAAGTGACCATCGATAACGATAATCCTCTCGGGCGGTTAGACCGATGGAACCTGACTTGGGAATGGATGCGAGGAGAGTTCATAAACACGATGCGAGGAGCTTACACTCACAAGAAAGATCCATCTGAATGTCTTTACAGCAAAGCTGGAAACTATTACAAAGACATGGATTTCTCTCAGGTCATGAATTGTCAGAAGAAGCCAGCAATTTCCGATTTGCCTCCAGAGAAGAAAGACGATAACGTGACTGGAAAGTTACCTTTCTGTTGCAAAAACGGAACTCTCTTGCCACCTATCATGGATCCTTCGAAATCTCGATCCATTTTTCAATTACAGGTGTATAAATTATTGTTCAGGGTTGAAATATGTCAAGAATGGCAGAAATTTAGGGTTTCGAAGTTTTAACTCTGTTCTCTCAATTTGTTAGGTTTTCAAGTTGCCTCCTGATCAGAACAGAACAGCTCTATACCCACCTCAGCATTGGAAAATCGATGGTGTTCTCAACCCGCAGTACAAATGCGGGCCACCGGTTCGGGTCGACCCGTCTCAATTCCCGGATTCTAGCGGTCTACCTGCTATAACCTACGCCATCTCCAGCTGGCAAGTGGTCTGCAACATAACCAAACCCAAAGCTCAGGCCTCAAGATGTTGTGTCTCATTCTCTGCCTTTTACAACAACTCTGCGATTCCTTGCAACACTTGCGCTTGCGGATGCAATGACATCGACACCGACACTTGTAATGCCAACCGTAACCCTCTCCTCCTCCCTCCCGACGCTCTCCTAGTCCCGTTCGAAAACCGAACCTTAAAGGCCAGAGCCTGGGCTAAGCAGAACCACATGCCAATGCCCAAGAAACTTCCTTGTCCGGATAACTGCGGAGTCAGCATTAACTGGCACGTTAACACGGACTACAGAAACGGTTGGACGGCGAGGTTAACCGTTTTCAACTGGAGAGACTTCGCGTTCGAGGATTGGTTTGTAGCGGTTGAGATGGGAAAGGCAAGTCTAGGGTATGAAAACGTTTACTCCTTTAACGGCACACGTGTTCCACCAAACAATCGAACCGTTATGTTCCAAGGACTGCCTGGTATGAACTATCTTGTGGGTCTAGTTAACGGAACCATAAGAAGCCCTCCCGTACCCGGGAAGCAACAGTCGGTCATCTCCTTCACCAAGAAAAACATCAATGGACTGAATATACCAGAAGGCGACGGTTTCCCAACGAAACTTTTCTTCAATGGAGAAGAATGTGCACTTCCAAAACATTTCCCAAAGAAGAGCTCAGGACATAGACGCGGTATCAGCGTCCTCGTGTCCTTTGTTTTAGCTCTGGCCGTGGCTTTTGCACTAATCATGGATTAATTACTGAAGACATAACTAAAGTTAGCATTATTTGGTCAGTTTTCGACTTTTAAAGATTGGTGTTTTGATGCTGTTGCTAAACAGAGGAAGGATCAAGAGGTGCAGATGTGAAGAGATCATTGTAATATGATTGATCTATATTGAATATATGTTGTGCATGTATTATACTTTTGCTTGGTCTATAAAAATGTATTCAAGTGTATGTTGATCTCTCTGGTAACTCCCAAAAGCTCAGAACAATGTTGGCTCCCTTTTTTGACATGAAGAAGATTTAGTCATTTAATTTGAAGTTTTCGTGTGTGAATGTGTGTGAAATCTCTCTGTTCTTTAATATCTTTATCGGAAAAATAGTATTAAAGATGCGGAAGCAAGGAACAAAAGCCATTGACAGAAGCAAGTCACATGAGATTCCAAAACTGAAACACTTCTTGAAAGCATGCATTTATGCTTTGCTTAGAATCTGAGAAAGAAGATTAAAAAGCTTCTCTGCAACATTTCTTCAAAAGCTTCACCTTTATATAAACCCAACAGCCTTTCATCATGTCTCATCACTAAATTCACATACATCTCTCTAACACCTCTTGATTTCACATCACAACTTCCTTCTCTTTTATTCAGTTCAAGAAATGGTTCGAAACTTAAAGAACATGATGCTTCGTGGGTTCGGTCTCGTGTGTCTGTTCATGATCGTTAACAAAGCCTACGCTAGAGAGTTTGCAGTCGGTGGTGCAAAAGGCTGGACCGTCCCTTCCGGTTCTCAAGTTTACAGTCAATGGGCAGAACAGAGCAGATTCCAAATCGGCGACTCTCTGCGTAAGTTTCCACACTGTACTAAACTAATAACCATAATCATAGTTTTCTTTCACATATGACACACACCAAGATTGTATAAAATCGCAGTGTTCGTCTACCAACCAAACCAAGATTCAGTGCTCCAAGTCACAAGAGACGCTTACGACAGCTGCAAAACGGATGCACCAACCGCTAAATTCGCCGACGGAAAAACTTCCTTCGCACTAACTCACTCAGGGCCATACTATTTCATCAGCGGAAACAAAGACAACTGCAACAAAAACGAGAAGCTCGTTGTCATCGTCATGGCTGACAGAAGCGGCGGAGGCAACAACAACGCCACATCATCATCACCTCCGTCTCCAGCTCCAGCTCCCTCGGGAGAATCAGCTCCTTCTCCGCCTGTCACAGGAACCGGTGAGTTTCCCCCAGCACCTATGCCTACTCCATCACAAGAAACTCCAAACAACGCAGCTTCTCCATCTTCTTCCTTTGTCGCTGCTCTTCTCGGGGCTGCTCTTGCTTCCACTCTGTTCCTACACTAAGGAGCTTTCTCTTTTGTCTTCTGCTTCCACTCTGTAACGAGTCTTTCCGCTTTTTCTTTTCCCCCGAGTTTGTGTCAATTGGTGTTTGTTGTTTGATTTTTACCTATTTGTTTTCTCATGTAAATGAATAAAAAATTCTACTTGTGTGCATATTACTGATACTTCACAGAGAGATGGACGGATAAAGAAATAAGGCGGCGATTCAAAGACCAAGAATCATAAAAGAAACTAAAGATAGTGTCAAACAAAATTTCTTTCTCTTTTTCCGAGTTTTTCTCTGTAGAACATCTAATTCTAAATAAATAATACTCTGAGGTTCTTCTATGGTTTTTATAGATTAATGGAAAATTCTAACCTCCAGTCGCCAATCAAATGTTTTTCCCGAGTTCGACCTTTTTGATCATTCTTACTGTATTGTGGAAAATCGAATCTAGTATTCCCGCAACCTGATAACAAAAAAAAAATCCACATCTGGAATTTGTAATCACCATGGAATCCATAACAGTATGAAGAAGCAAGATTGACTGAGAATGTACTAACCGTGAAAACACCACCAATAATGGCGCAAAGATTTGTGATGAAGTGTGAGAAGGACTTAGGGTTTTCGGTTATCATAATCTGCAAAAAACAGAGCAACCAAAGTAGTTATAAAGAGAAGAGTATTTATTCAGACATTTGCGACAGATGTTATCTTCTTGTTTGTGTAAATGAGGACCGAACCTGCATGGGAGAGAGCTCAAAGTGAAACTTTGCAGCGGGCAAGTAGTAAGTCTGAGCCACGCTGCTGTGAGCGGTGTATTCATATTCCTCGATCACCGAATGTTCTTGACCGGATTTTCTTGTAATGACTTCAGTTTTGACTATTTGCAGGTAGTGTTCGATCTGTATACAGCGGTTTATTTATAGTGTAGGAAACAATTAGATGAGGGCCAGCGAAAGATAATTCGACGAAAGGTTCAAGAATCTGAATTCACATTAAGGTTTTTGGGACTTACAGTAACATTGGCACCAAGCTCATGTTCATTTATGAACGCTTTCTCATCGAGCCTGTCATGGCTTTGGCCAAGATATGGCAACAATCGCCTCATATCGGTCAACAACCTAGGAGACATCAACCTTCCAAATGAAAGATGGGTAACAACATGAGACACGTTCATTTGAGAAGTATCGAACGAATGAGCTCCTGAATGAGCTGAGATAACAAGGTTTCCTGGAACCTGAAACGTACAAAAAAACATAGTTCCAGTACAGAAAAGCTAGGAAAGATATCAAAACATGCCACAAATCAATTAGAGGGACATTGATTCCGTCTTTTTCAGACCGAGGTTTACCTTTTTTACACGCACATAACCTTCAACTCTACATCCTCCTGTAACTGGTGCCTTTTTAAGGTGTTTCGCTGTATCATTGGATATACCTTCCAAAGCTAGCTTGTGAGTCACGGGGTGGATAGGTGCGACCAGTCCGTCCACCATCTGAAAGAACAACCAGTTTTTATTATACAACTACACGAACTAACGATCACACACACATAAACATAGATGTGAATGTTGACAAACCAATTCATGATTCTGGAACGAAGTTTGGATTTGTCTACCTTAACTATACTATCTGTGTCCCGATCTCCATAGTAAGATTCATGTTCGTGGTGTCCATGGTCCTCTCTAAAAATAACAAAAACACTTTCATAAGAATGTTTGCACTAACAGATTTGTGGTTCAAAAGAAGTTAAGAAGAACATAATTTTTTTTTTACTGTACTGAGAACACAATCAAGAGACACAGAATCGAGCTTGTTGCCGCATTGCCACAAAAGACATGAAGAATTATAAGTACGGTAGTAGCAATTCAAACGTCTTATCAGATGGTTTCTCACTTAAGGTCACTGCCTTTGCGGAAAATCCGAATAGATGGATAGCCTTGTATATGATTCCTGAAAAATTTATTCCAGAATTTATGTCAGATCAAACGAAATATTAAAATTCGTGTGCCATTCACTGCTGCCCATGCATCCTTAAACTGCCGCTATTAAATAGTAACGACGTAGCTTTTCTCAGAAAGTTCAGAACAAGTCACCAAGTTTTATAGATTACACATTATAGTACCTCTTACAAAGCGCAGCTTCTTCAACGCAATCAACGTTTCCTAGAAGAACACGCCCATCAGCTTCAGGATCATATCTGCAGCAGAGTTATAGCAATGTTTCAGAAAGAAAATATCAGCAAGCTTGACTTAAGAATTTCACAAATTGAAAAATACTCAAAAGGAGTCTAATGCAAACCTCTGTTTGATAATAGTAGCTGCTTTTTCCCACGACGGTTTCTGAAAAGAATGGTAGAAAATACAAAAACTCATCACAATCAAACATGAACGAATTTCTCAATGTTAGAAAGGTACATAATAATACTGTAAAAGCTTGACCAACGTATCATTCAAGAAAGAAGAGATTGTCATCTAGAATTAGTAACACAGAATAACAAACACCATAGAAAGTAAATTTCCCTATAAGAATGACATGTCTATGGATTTTATGTATCCTGATTGAATATATTCACAAATAACAGTCAAGAATGTAATAAGGTAGAGATTCTTTCTCACTCAGTCAGGCAGAAGTAACAAGTTATGATGAGAACATCTGGAATTGGACCATCAATGCTTGCATACCAGATGAAAAGATCACTAAACTGGAAAGTTTAAAAGAAGCATAAGAAATTACTAAGAGAATTACCAGACGATTACTCCAGTAGCACCACGGTGCATAAAAGTTAACAATCAATAATGGAAAGCTGCAGAAGAAAGCCAATTTACGTTAATCCATATTCAAACCCTCAGACAGGACTGCTGTACATACAACAATACGAAAAATAGAAGCTGCCTACTCACTGATGTGAAAACGCTTCAAAACTGCCATTGGTTAATGGTATGGCACCATCAGGAAACTCTTCTTTATTTTCTTCTCCATGGATTTCTTCTCCATAGTTGATGTTATGTAACGCAAGGCCAGAGTGGAATTCTGCACCAGTGCCCCTTAAATGCGGATCAATTGGAAACTTGCGAACTGTTTTTGTTATATTCAACCTATTCTGGAAATTTGAACATCAAATTAGACCTAGGCCCCAGCTCGGTTAAAGGCAGTAAGTACATCATATACTGTATCATATAACTAGAAAGAAACATTCTCTGATGATACTGAAGAAAATGTCAAAATGTAAGCTTTTCCCTATGCGTTTTTGCATTTTGTGTGATAATCATACAACATTTTATTGCAAAATGCATTCTAACAGTGAAAATTAGGATCATCCAAATAACAAAGAGTGAGAGTTGGTGAGTAGAGACTTACTGTTCCCAATACGTCACTCACATCAACGGATGCAAATTCACATGAAAGAGCAGGAAAACTACAAAAACAGGAAGATACAGACTCATTGTAAGGTTACAAAGAAAAACCATTCAATATCCCCTCATATGATTCGAGCATATGACATAAGAAGAGGGAGATTTGAAACTATTCCTCAAGAAAAACCATATCTTTATGAATCTAGCATATAACATAGAAGAGGAAGATTTGAAACTATCATAGCAATTACTCCTCGAGAAAAACCATATCTCTTTATGAATCTAGTGACTGTATAACAGACGTCTAGAGCAGATTTCAATATCAACAGAGAAAAAGAGAAACACAGTAACAAAAATGAATTCAAATCTACACAAGATAGAACCTGATGTTGAAATCAATGCGTAAGAAGTCTCCATCAGCGCTCTTGTCAACTACGACAGCCGTTGTAGTGTTGACTTCCAAATAACTACTCAGCTCCTGAGGGATGAAAAAAAAGTCTTTAATCAAGACGCTTCGTTTACAAGACTACTTTCATCAAACAGAGTAATGTGAAAGAGGAAACATGGCAAAAAGAGAATTACCATTCCAAACAAAAGCATCATGATGAGAGCAGCTACAATGGATAACCCAGCACCTGATAGAGACGCCTCTGTCAAATCTCTCGGGATTTTCCTAATCAACAATCAAAAGGGTCACCTCAAAAATCAGATCACTGCCGAATTATCAAAGAAAGAGTCTTGATTTCGAATACTCAAGGATACGAAACGAACGCAGAATTCGACAGAGAAAATGCATGCTTTGGCTAATTCCCAATAATCAATCGCACATAACTAATCACATTCAATCGAGAATCTATGTATATGCGCACGTGCATCAGAGGCAATGTAAATTGAGGAAATGTCAGAGAGAGATCAGAGGATCGCACCTGTAGAAATCAACGGATTTGATTTTGGTGGAGGAAACCATAGCTGCTGCCGAGAAGAAACGGCGGAGATGGAAGAGGGGGCAATCGCCAAAACCCAGGAGACTGAGAGAGAGTGAAAGAAGGTGGAGACAACAGATCTAGTGAGGGGAAGAAGAAGATGAATTCTCTCTGTAATGCCGAATCCGTGATTTCCCCGTGAAGGAAACCTTTGCGTTTCAAATCTCCAACTTTTAATGTCGAATGAATTTGGTTATGCACGACAGCGAAAAATTAAATACTATTAATTGTAATTGTCTTCCTTCGGTCGGAGAAATATTTTATAAATAATACTCCTTTTTTAAGACTTTATAAAATCTAAAATTTTAAAATATCACATTTTTTTTACTGTATTTTTTTGTTATTTTTCAAAAAAATATCCCGAAATATTTAAAAGTTTTGTAAAATTTTAATCAGCTTTCTTTAATTAAAAGTTGAGGAATAATTCCTAAAACCGAATTGTTATACTTTTCGAACATAATTTTTTGTAGAAATTTGAGATATTTCTCAAAATTTTATTTTATATTTTATCAAATGCTATTTTGTTTTTGTAATATTAATTTTTTTTTAGTTCGTATTAATCGGAGTTTTCTCTTCGGGAGAATTCAATCATTGGTTGGACTACATAGCGTTCCAGAAATAACACATATGTACGTGACTGTACCAAGTATTGTGGCACACATGGAAACAAGTTACGGTTGACCCCCCAAAAATGGAAACATTTTTTTTTTTTGGTAAAACCAAAAATGGAAACATGCTAACTTTTTATTACACATGTCTCGAAATGTTTTACAAAACTTGCACTCTTGCTTGCGCATTTTATACATATACAATACATAATCCACCATTGCTTCAACTTTCACTACATTTACTAAGTACATTCTATAGATTTTACAGCAAAAAACTTTAATCACAATAAAAGATAAAAGATTATAAATTGGAAAATCAAACGAAGTATCAACCAATATAATTAGACAACATCGACAAAGGTACTAAGCAAAGTCCTCTCTTCTTCAATTCTGCGCAATATTCTTCCTTCATTGTCCCTTTCTTATTCAATCCTTTCTCCTGTAAACACCAGTAATAATATCTATTTTTATTAGTCGTCAGAACAATTTATATAATGAGGAAAAATATATAAAACATAAAGGTAGTTGAAAGTTTCTTACCTCGGTTTTAGTATTATTCATGGTTTTTACTTCTATCGTATTTTCTTCCATTTCACTATAACCCTGAAAGAACAAGCATAGCTAAGATTAATATATTATATATAACACATGAAACATCATACATATATGCATACATACGTGCATTGCCATTAAGGCCCATATATATGTAATGTGTATATCAATGTATGTATGCAAACATATTAAGATTGTCTTCTCTTTGGACTAACCTTGGTTCTGTTAGAAGGAGATGAAGCCGTGTCCTCTTCAAGATAGATCATAGGAGATGCAGCGTCTGAGATCATGGAGGAATCTTCATAATGGCTAATACCATCGTCGGTTTCAAAGTACATTGTCCAACTACTCTCTTCTAGACCTTCTTGTGTTGTTCTCTGTTGATTAGAGAATACTGTTCGCCTCACGCAGTTGCTTAGTGCTGAATTTTCCATTTGAGCTTTCTTAGAGAAGAGCTAAACTTAATGAAGAGTTGTTTAAATTAGTTGGAGAGAGAGAGAGAGAGAGATGTGAGAAGCTAAGAATGGTATTTAGACTTTTGTTTGCCCAATTCTCTCAAATGTGATATCTATATAGTAGGGGAGGTAAAGGTCATGGAACTTGTAGGTTTGGCACAATTTGGCCCTTTTAGTCTAATTTTGTTGTATTTTATTAACTTAAAATAATAACATTATGTTGCTTTCATATTATATATGGCAGTTGAACAGTATGATTTCTTTTTGTGCAAGAACAAAGAAACATGTACAAGGGAAGTGGATCACCTTCTTGTTGGGTTAGTGGAGAATATAAATGCATACATTAACTTTGAAACTTGCTATATTAAATCTCATTAGTTAAAACTTTAAAAGTTAGACATAGTTTAACATTAAATAAAATGCTTTTTTAATGGGTGAACCCGAATACGTTTTTGTAATTTCTAATAAAAGCGAGTTAATTCAAAAACAAATATGACCATAATAGCAACCACAATTTCGCAAAAAAATAGTAAGAAAGAATTACATTTCAGATTGTACGTTAACGAAATAAATAAAAATATGACCATAATAGTAACCACAATTTCGCAATAATAGTAAGAATGAATTACATTTTAGATTGTACGTTAACGAAATAATTTGTTGGAAGCTAAAACAAAATCAATGAAATCATTTTAGCTTATATATTCCGTTTAAAATTCTTGTCCATGCTCTATGTAATTGGATATCTTGTGCTTGGTATCAAAATTAGAAGTATGTAGAAAGGACAACAATTTCTTGATAGAGTGAAAGTGTTATTGGAAAATATATAAAAAAAAATTTCGGTCAAAAGAAGATATATAATTTAATCAATGATGGAGATAAGTAATTCGTGGGCAACTGCTACTAATTAAGTGTTAAGCGATAATATGGTTTATATTTTATAACGTGGCAAGCAGATGTAGTCTTCGTCTATCTGAAAAACTCAAACAGAAAACAGAAAACGTGATGAAGGCAACATTACACCGTAGGCTATAAATCCAAATAGCTAATTAAAAACCAAATGATAAATGTATATAATATATGGTCATATATACAGTCGGTCCACGTTCTTGAACCTTTATAGTCCGGCAGGATAATTGTTTCAATATTATTATTATTAGAATTATGGTTGTAAAGCATGTACAGCATATTGTACTTTTAGTTTGTGAGCTATGAAGTGTGTGAATTTGTAAGAGCTGAACCGAATCTTTGGTGGCTGTTACAACAATTGTCCCTTCTTCATAAGCCATGTACGACGCAAGAGGCTACGAAAGCTTAAAAATGTTTTGACCTTACTAATATGGACTTTGTCATTGTGAATGGCTTGACAAGATCATGATATTAATGATGGTATCCTATGTATAGTCTAGTCAAGATTTTGCAGATCCAAGTTAATTTTTACATGATGTGAACAAAATAATTTAATTAGTTTTCAATCTTTGTGCCAGCAAATATAACAAAGCAGACATTTGTTTTTAATTTTTTTTTTTTATGTTTATCAACGACGTTTTTTTAAAAACAATTTTGACATGATATGTGTATTAGTTGGTCTTATAAAGTATGCACATGTCAATCTTTGCTGCGACTATTTTTCCAAAATTGTAAGTAAAAAAACATGCATTGAACTAAGTTGAAGAATCACCATTTTATAATGATAGTTTTTCAGAATCTCATGAAAGGTGAGAAGAAATTAGCAATTCACGTCAAAATAATGCATATGTTTACGACAAAAACAAAAAAAATGTTTACTCTGTGTGGTAATAGTGGATATTCAGTCTCTAAAAACATTACGTACTATTAATACAGCATTCAGAAATTATAACTCGTTACTCACGTAGTTAAGTTACATCCCTAACACTCGAGTCTTTAGTATATGACTATCTGTATAGTGCAACCGAATTTGGATCGGGTCGATATGGTCTTACTGATCTCTTTCGTTAACGTTGTACATGATCTGAATGATTGAAGTGCATGAATTAGACTAATCCGTGGACTAATCCCTTTTGCAAACTAATAGATCACTTTTTCACTTATAAAATTTGATTCACGAATGTTGCGAAATTCGATGATTTCTTAAACTCAAAAAAAACTTTGTTGTCAAACAGATTACTTAAACTAATAATTTCGTATTGAATTGGAGTGTCAATGCAAATTCATCATATGTTTGTGCCAAGAACTTTTCATGCCAATAACTTGCCACGTCTCCCAACGGAATTCTAACTCCGTTAAGTTAATACACTATCTACAATTTCGATATTCAACCCCTAAGTTTCCTTTTATTTGCACTAGACACCCCAATATTATGATTTATGTTTTCGTCTTCTTTTTTATTTCTGATTGATTATTCACTCTCTCCTTCCTCTCTCTGCTCTCCGCCGAAGTATCGCAGTGCCGGGCACAAGGTAAACAAAACTTCACCCTCTTTCTCTGAAGCTCAACTGTTAGATTCTTCCAACCCTAAATTACGCCAGTGTTCGGAATCTGTAGCTTACGTTTTAGATTCAAGCTTTCGCTTCCTCGTGTAGTTTTTCTGCGTTTGGGAATTAGGATTTAGGGTTCCAGATATCGACATTCCTTTTTTTCTTTTGCGAATTTAGAGAAAGGCTAGTTTTTTTTCTGACGCTTTCTCAATTTGTGCTCCTTTCAAAGGCAAAGAAGAGAGAAGAACCCGTCTCCAAGTATGGCTCGCAATGTACCAGAGGCCTCAGAATCTCCGGTGAGGCACAGGCAGTCTCCTCGCCGGAGAAGTGAATCTAGAAGAGAAGAATCCTCGAGTTTGTCGAATCGTAGCTCTAGGTCTCCTTCACCGAGGACAAAGAGACTGAGAAGAGCTCAAGGTGAAAGGGAGGTTGGGAGAAGCAGAGAAAGAGAAGACGAGAAGCATAAAAGCAGCAGAGGAAGGGAGAAGAGCAGCAGTAGGGACGTAGAAAGGGAAAGGGATGGTGAAAAAGGAAGAGAAAGAGACAGGGAGAGAAGAAGAGACGGAGAAAAGGAGAAGACAAGGGACACATCAGATAGGGAAATTGGGGATAAGAGAAGACGCTCAGGGAGAGAGGAAACTGAGGAAAGGCAAAAGGCAGGAACAGAGGATGAGAGACAAACTAGAGGAAGACGTGAGAGGTCTACTTCACCGTTAGATAAGAGTCACAGGAGTAGGCGTTCACCAGAAAGAGCTCCTGTCTCAAGGCATTACGAGGGGTCTAACGCAAGAGGGGGCGGCGAGGAACCCAGTGATGAAGAAGATTCCATTGCTAGAATGAGAGCAGCTGAAGAAGCTCTAGCAGCGAAGAAAAAGGTATCATATCAAGGATTTATCGATTTTTAAATTTTCCAGTGTCATTTTGTGCTCTCTTCCCTCATCCATGTTCTGACGCTTCAGATCTAATTTTGTTATATCTTGCAGGAAGAACCATCTTTTGAGCTATCAGGGAAACTTGCTGAAGAAACCAACAGATACAGAGGTGATGTTTCTATCTGGGCATTTCAGTTGTCAGCATTACTTTGTCATGTAAACATTTGCTACATTAGTGATCTTCATTTACGTGTGAAACATGTCCGTTTGTTGTTAGGATCATCTTTTCTTCCGTTTTATATGCATTGTTGTGCCTGTCATATGGTAGTTCAACAGCTAATGGCTATTGAGACTAAAAGCCTCAATTTTATAGCATCTGCTTATCAGCAAATATTCCATTGGCTGCAAATCCCGCACTTTCTCCTAGGAATGTAGAATTGTAGATAGATAGAGGTTTATCGCATTAAATTTTATCACAGGCATGCGTCCCTGATTTGTTTTGAACCCTTTCCAGGTATCACAATCCTCTTCAGTGAGCCACCAGAGGCTAGAAAACCCAAAGAAAGATGGAGACTTTATGTTTTCAAGGATGGTGAACCACTGAATGGTGAGTCTTTTTCAACTCTCTAGTTTCTCATTCGTAAGGCTTATTGTGTTTACACATGCTCATCTGTCAAAGTAATAGTCCATTTGTCTTGTATGCTTTTCACTTAAACTATCTTTTCTCTGGCAAATGTCAAGTTTTTTGGGGGTGCATGAAACATGCAGTAAAGCATGTTGTAGTGGTTTGATGAAAGAGATGCCCGAGACTGTATACTGCACTCTAGCCATGACCCCTTAAAAACTGTAGTCGTTGATGATCGAGTATCCAAATAGTAGTATTATTACCAACAGTAACCAAATTATTGCCTGATACTGATTAAAAACTTGTCAATTTAACTAAAATGAATATAACTTTGCGGTGTTCCGTGATCAGATACTTTCGTGATTGGTTACTGGTGTCTATTTTACTTTGAATCCTTGAACATTATATTGCAGTGTTGTGACTATGTATACATAGATTTATCATCTTGTTTCTTATTTCTATTTGCTTGCTTCCAACTCTTAATTTGTGTGCATGTGAAATGTGTTTGTTTATTAACAGACCCAATCCAACTTCACCGCCAAAGCTGCTATCTATTTGGACGTGAGAGAAGAATAGCAGACGTTCCTACTGATCACCCATCTTGCAGCAAGCAGCATGCTGTTATTCAATACAGGTAGATATCTGACTTGTAATTCTCCTCTTCAATAATAAATTTTATGACCATGGATCGAATGAGAAGAAGAGGTTTAGGTTGATATCTATGTCACCGTGAATGTGTGTGTGTCTCAGGGAAATGGAAATGGAGAAACCAGATGGTATGGTGGTGAAACAAGTGAAGTAAGAATCTGTCTGCTCTTTCACTTTGCTTGACAATTTTGCAACTTTTCTGGCTTTAAGGCGAAACCTAATCTCTCTTAATGTGACCTTGCAGGCCTTACATTATGGATCTTGGCAGTACCAACAAAACTTACATCAATGTCAGTGCTGAATTGCATTCTTTCTTGATTGTTTCTTCATCATGATTTAGATTAAACGTTTGTAATGAACTTTTTGTGCTTTTCCAGGAAAAGCCTATTGAACCAGAGCGATACTATGAGCTTTTCGAGAAAGATACCATCAAGTTTGGCAACAGCAGGTATGCTAGTGAAGAACATTGCTGTTTTTTTGCTTTTTTACTTAATGAATAATTAAGGTCTTGACATATTTTCTTCTTTTGGTTGCAGCCGAGAGTACGTACTGTTGCACGAGAATTCTGCTGAGTGAGTGAATAAAATCAGAGTCAAGCAGTAAGAAGATGGCTTTTCTCAGGGAACTAAGAGATAGTTCTGTTTTCCTTAAATAGACTTCTACTGTGTTGATGACTAACAGTCTTGACATTATATGTTAATAACGTTTAGAAAGCATTTCCTGCTTAGTGGATTTCGAACATAACCAATTTAAAAGTTGAAAGAATCTGAGATGTTAAAGAAGATTCCGACCATTAGAACTGCAATAGTGGATAAAACATTAAGAGTTTCGATTTTTTTTCCGTTGATCATTAGCTTTTTCATTAGAATAAACAAAGCGCCTTTTTTGTTTTCTTCACATATAAACAGATTTTAACAGAGGTGATGAGACAAACAAAAGACCTCAAGCACTGCCTCATAGTTAGTCTTCAGTAGCCGAGAAAAAAAAAAGGATTGTTCCCTCTTTTCCTCTTATTTGGCAGCATACCAGTTCTGAGCACACTTGGCATCCACAGATAAATCAACTGAGAGAATGTTCTTGCCGTTGAAGGGTTTACACATGCAGTCCACAACTATCTCGTTGGCGATCTCTGCTGACTCACTTGGTCCTTCCAAGATTACTTCATCATGAACCTGTTTTCCACAAGAGTAACCCAAAACAATCATTTAGATACGCAATCATATAACCTGAGCCTAAAAGTGGTGATTATGTCAAGAATCTGTGTGTAGTGTTTACTTGTAGAAGCAGTTTCCAACCAAGCTCCTTTAAACGTTCATTTGTTGATATTTCCAGCATAGCGCACATTGCGACATCAGCCGCACTTCCCTGTAGTAATAGTAGTTATTGAGGTTTTGAGTCGAGAGAGAGAGAGAGTACAAGAAGGTTAAAGATCTGATGATAGCGGCAAACAAACCTGAACAGGAGTGTTGATTGCTGCTCGTTCGATATGGTTCTTTTGGGCACGTGAACGGTATACAGGGAATTTACGAGCTCTTCCCAACAAAGTGAGTACATACCCATTTTGTATTGCTTCTTTCTTGCGTAGTTCTTGCCATTTCCGGACTTCTTGTCTGTCATTATACCATAGATTTACTGTTTCTTGAGCTTCTTCTACTGAGACCTGAAAGTTTTTTAAAATGAGGATTTTGTCAGCTTATTATTATAAACCAAGCACGTTCATATCAATTTTCAAGACCTTGGTAAATAGTACCTTCCAGTCTCTAGAAAGCCCAATTGCAGTCTTCCCATACGCAATCGAAAAGTTGAGCATCTTAGCTTTTCTTCTCTCAGAAGCAAAGGCGTCCTGAGTAAGTAAGCAAAACGTTTTGTTACCGGTTATAAGGATTCAGGCACAACGTTTTGTTTCCTAGCTTAGTGTGTAAGTAAGTCAATCGTTGTGATCTTAGTGCGCTAAAAGTGGTGAGTCTGCAGTTTAGCACCGTGGATATTAAGCTTTAGCCTTTTTCAGGCTTTTCGAAATCTATTTGTTTCACATTAAGCAGCAGTCTCACCTTTAACAATGGCACTGGTGGCTTCTCTTGTCCAGGTTGTGGATGCCATTCAAGAAGCACTTCACCATTTTCAACAGCTTCGCGAATATGTGGATACATGTTCATGGCTGTTCTTGAGTGGAAGTCTCCGCCAGCAACGAAAGCTTCCATCATGCTTTCACAACGAGCAAGATGTGCCAGAATCCTAAGTTCCAACTGAAGATAGAAAAATCAACTCACAGTCAAGGTGAATTTAGCTACTAGTCATCATCATAGAAGTATATATAACTATCAGAGCTTATATTTTCATACCTGTCCATAATCAGCAACAATAAGTGAATTTCCAGGTGACGCTATGAAGGCCTGACGGATCTTGTACCGATCTTTCTCCAATGCAGGTTGGTTCTAGACAGAACAAAAAGGAAAACTTGCTACAATTACAAGACCTCAAGTACTAAATCTCCAAGTAAGAAATAATCTTTGCGCGTTTGAAACCCAAGGATATTTCAAAGGTTCAGAAGCAGAGAAAATAGAGAAGCCAAGTCTTAAATTAAGTTCAAGCCAAGTACCTGTAAATTTGGTCTTCTAGCTGATAAGCGCCCAGTTTCAGTGTTAATATTCAGGGAGCAGTGGACACGACCATCTTTGCCTGATACATTACTTCCCTGTTGGATAGGAAAACCAATTTAACAAACTAATGGAAAGAATTAAGAAGGTAAAAACATTGTTTTAACAAGAAAAAAATTTATACCTGCAAAGGAAGAATAAAATTTGATATTAAGGAATCAATGGAGCAAACTTCACACAAGGAAGCAATTGCATGGCATGCCTCCTTTCCACTCTCACCCCCTCCAAACGCATCAAATGCTGTTCCAAAAGCAGATGTGTCTGATTCAACAGATGTATTTGTGCTTTGTGTCTCTAAAAATTCGTCTGGTAGCAACATAAATTCATCATCTCCAGTATCTTCTTCTAGAGAGTTATTTGCTACGCACTCTGTGAAGTCATACGCTGCAGAGACTTTCCCGGCTAAGGCTTTCAAAGTGTCTCCACTAACAGAGGGCCAGCCTGAGGCAGTGAACTTTTCAGTAGGCAATGGATTGTCGCTAATCCTATGCAGTTTGATATTGCGAAACTTTGTGGCTTTCTTTTTTCCTTCTTCAATCACCTTATCGACATTGGGAACTTTGAAAAGCTTTTCATAAGGAAGATCCTCACCATTACAACTGTAACAGAAATTAACGAAACTTAGTATCAGAAATAAGCACAAAGAAACATAATATGCCTACTAACATGGTTATATGTCACTTCAGGTGAAGAAGCATACCTGTTAGAAATGCCACCGAAAAAGAGCTGTCGCAATTGCGTGTCACTGCCAACATTCATATGCTTTGCGTCAGGACAATGCTTCGAGGCCCAACCCCGGAACCTAGAAACAGCAGTTTCTTGTTCTGCTTTGGCTACAATCTCAATCTGCGCCAGATATTCCCTATCTACAAGCATCCCCTCTGCTTCCATTTTAGCAAGAAGCTCACCAAAAGGTTGCCAATATTCTTGGTAGAAGTCAAACATGTTCTTTCTTGAAATTAGCTTTCCATCAAGAAACCATTTCTTCATTTGCAGTTGTTTCTTCATGCTGTCGTAGAGCTTCAGCGTGCTTATCGAATCCAGCGCAGAGTACGAAATCCAAGCTTCTCGATCATCTTTTTGAAGCTCTTCAACTGGGGGAATGATCACCACTTTCCCCTCTGATCCATCCTTTTTCAGTTTCCCCTTGCCGAAAATCGTCTTCATTGATATCTTACCAAATAATTCTGCTTCCTCCTTTGTCTCAGTTCCCCCAAGAACTCTTGGATCACTTGTAAGTGCTTCGAGTGAATAACCACCCGATGTCCGTCTAGACGAATCCCACAATCGTGCCATGTGCATTGTATCACCATGAAAACCAGAAAGCTTGATTCCATAATTTCTTATAATGTGGTTATCAAAGCTGTAGTTATGCCATACCTATAAGAGTAAAAGAAAAAGGTTTAGGTCACTATCCAACGAATTACAAAATTAAAACAAAACATGATTCATAAGTCATGAGTGCCTACTGCCTCCAACTAAACTGACAACAAGAGGGAATGTGAAATAAGATTCATGACACCAACTTAACCAAATTTCACTGAATAAATAATGGAAACGCAGCAAGTTGTTATTTTGTTTGAGCTCACTTTTTTTATGGATGAGTCTTCGAAAAATGGCTTAAACTCAGCCAAGACATCTTTGCCATTTTCGCCAAGAACATCTACCCAGATACATGATTTTCCATCTCCAAAATCTGCTTCTGATCCACAATATATACTGAAACATATCAACTCACCATGGTCCACAGGTGTTTCACTCTTCACATCAATCCTGGACACCTAAAGAATTGATAATCAGAGAACAAAAGAAGTATTACTATATAAGTCAAGTGCATTAGTATTTCTTTATAAATAACAACGTAGCAGCAAGCGCATGACCACATACCTCTGTATCGCAAGCATGGACAAGATTCCTATATTGATTCACGAGCTTAGCCACAATTTCCTTTGCACTAGACACATTATCGACAACACGAACCCTATCATATATTTTCCTGAGGTTTGCACGGACTTTCGACAGGTCAGTGCGTTTCTCCGGTCTGGAAATGGTTACCGTATCCTCAGAGCTTACACCGTCAAAAGAAGTAACAAGAGGTCTTTGTTTCCCATTGTCATCATCTACTTTCCTCACAGCCGCCTCAATATTCTTGCTTGGTAACGCTATGAGAGGCCCTCTTAGACTCTTCTGTTGCCGAAGGCCATTCAATTCTCTGTCGACTGTGGTGATACCACCTCTTGGTTCCCTCTTGTAATCCAAGTTCTGGCAGTTTCCATAAGATTGAGCATCCTCTATTTTGGGGATAAAGCCTCTGAAATAATTACCAGAAGCATCATCCTGGATCTTAGCAACTTCTCCATTGCTTTCTCTAAAGTGATTGACTTCCTCTTTCCTCCAAGCACTCACAGCTCCAGCTTGTTTCACAGTTGGTGGAACCATTCTCGCCATCTTAGATCCTATATTAAGTTTCCACTCTCCACTAAACTCAACAGTACAAGACCGTTGATGACCCGAATGCTGAAACCCATTGGTATCACCAGGAGCTGTAGTAGCAGTGGAATATCCGGAGTTCCCATTTGTGATGGCTACTTTTCTGTAAATCACAAGCACCCAAAAAAAGTGTAGTATCATCAACATTACAGAGAACACCTTCAAGCTCGAAAATAATAACTAATCAGCTCTAACTTAAAATACATTGCTCTACTTAACCAAAAGGTTAATCAAGTTAGCCTAAGTGAGAAACAAATTGCAGCAGACACGCTATAAGACTAACAGAACAGAGAATAAGCTAAGTTTCGATGGACTTTTCAATTAAAAACTTGAACAAGAGCACAAAAATGAGAGAGAACAAACGAAAGAAGAAGAAGAAGAAGAAGAAGAAGCTGTGAACCTGCAAAGGATTCTACGGCGAGGAGGAGTCAGTAGCGAAAGGATGGAAGAAGAGACGCGAGGACGGCGCGAAACCCAGAAAGAGGAAGGAGAGAAATGGCGAAGAGAAACCCCCATGGCCGTAAGCGAAGCTACTCTTCCCAGCTTCAAGGGAATTTTCGTCTTGTAGAGATAAAAGAAGGGTTTAATCGTTTTTCACAGAGCTGAGCTGGTCGCCAGTAGTCGATGACGACAAACCCTTTAAACCCTTTTCCCCTTCCCTTTTTTTAATTAATTGATTATTCAATTAAAATACCAAAAGAACAACAAAAAAGGAGACATTTTTCCTAAAAGTTCGGATTTTTAATTCCAAAATCTGATTCCACGATGATGATGTTCTAAAGATTTGGTTTAATCTCTTCTTCAACTTACATTATCCCCAAAACTTTTGGTTTCTTTATATTTTGGTTGAGTAGCTGAGGGCTCCTGTAAGAATCTTGTCTTAAAAATCTGAAATTTCTTTCGAGCTTCTGAAAACTCTGTTTCTTGGAAACAGGACATGGCTGGACTCATCAACAAGTATACATATACATTTAATTTATTACTATAGACAAGATTTGGAGTGTTAATGTTATATGGATTTTTAATAATGTTTTTGCAGAAAAAGACTGATTAAAAGTATGTTGCGCAAGAACCCTGAACATAGACCAACTGTAAGTTGATGACGAGTTCCATTAGTTTCTTGTTTTGTGGCTTCTTCTAAACTGTAAAAAAAATGTTTCTTTATAGGCTGCAGAATTGTTAAGACGTCCTCACTTACAGCCATATCTTGCACAATGCCAAAATTTATCTCTGGTTTTCAAACCGGTTGTGTCCAAATCAGAACACAACACCTACGAAAACAGAACGAGCGAGACCCGTCTTCCTCCAAGAACGGGCACTGCCAAATCCGCGAGAACACCGATCAGACATAATCAGATAGTAACGGAAGAAGCAGAGGAAAGAGAGAAGAGAAACAAGGATACAAGTTCTAGTTCGAAAGAGAAAGAGAGACCAGCAAAGAGCCAAGAAATGTCGTTGATTAGCACGTTAACGTTGCTACGCGAGTATCAGAAGAAGAGCCCGAGGAGCGAGGAGAGAGCAGAAGCATTGGAATCTTTGTTGGAGCTTTGTGCAGGTTTGCTTAGGCAAGAAAAGTTCGATGAGCTCGAAGGAGTCTTAAAGCCCTTTGGAGATGAAACAGTTTCATCTAGAGAAACCGCGATTTGGCTTACCAAAAGTCTCATGAATATAAAGAAAAAGCAAAACGATGATGGAACCAATCCTTAAAATCAACACTAACCGTAACTTTCATGTAACTATTGTGTGTATTAAAGAAATTAATCAAAAAAGCAATTAAGTTTTTTTTTTTATCAGATTCATAAAAAAAAAATTGATCAACGGGCTATTATAGAATTATGTTATATATTATTATCATACTCTTCATTGAAAGTATGTACATTTATATTTTGTAGACAAGCTATTGAGTGTTAATGTTATATGGATTTCTAAGAACCCTGAACATAGACTAACTGTGAACTGATGATGAGTTCCTTTACTTTTTTCTTTCGCAGTTTCTTCTAAATGAAAAAAATAGGTTTTTTATAGGCTGCAGAATTGTTAATACATCCTCTCACTTACAGCGGCTGTGTCCAAATCAGATCACATCACCTACGAAAACAGAACAGGCGAGATCCCCATTAGACATAATTAGATAGTGACGGAAGAAGCAGAGGAGAGAGAGAAGAGAGAGAAACAAGAATACAAGTTCTAGTTGGAAAGATACCAGCAAAATTGTTCAAAACAATACAAGACACAATTACAGCAAACTAAAATGATAAATAATCTCTTACTTTCCTTTTGCCCAGACGTTTTGGTTGTACTACTTTCACTAAACTTGGAGCATAAGAAGAGAAGACAAGCTGGTTATAATACTGAGATCCGGGTTTCCTAGCTTTTCCGATATTCACAGCTTTAAAGTATCCATCTACTCCAAAGACATAAGCTCTTTGGTAGGTACGTTGATTGGTCGGAGAAGATTTGCGCAACTCGGAAACAACAGCGACTTTCTTCTCCTCGTCAATGAAGAAAGACTCAGCAACAAAGCAAGTCTGTGTCAGTTCCACTCTCAAGAATCTGCTCCAGGACGCCGCATTGATCCCAATCTTGCTTGTTATCCAAATCTCCATCATGTGATCCTCGCAGAAATCTAACACAGCGAGCTTCTCATCCATAACACAAGACAGAATCACGTCTTTCGAACTCCTAACGCAAGAGCCAAACGGGAGAGCAAGACGCGGTCCGAACCTCTCTGCCGTAAAATCAAAACAGAGTAAAAAAAAACGAGCATCGTTCAATGTTTCTTGAGCCAAAAAGTAAGTGTTTCCCTTGAGGGGCACGCCGCTTACTAAATGGCAGCCGGGATCGACATCAAGTTTCTTCCATGAATCAGAGTAAAAATCGTACATCTCGTAAAAGGGACGGAGACGTGACGAGTACTTAGAATAAACATCCAAAAGCCTCAAGATCTTGTGGTTACGGTTGCTGTTGCTGTCGTCGTCGTACCCGAGAGCATACATGTCTGATGGGTCGAATTTGTGGGAGGAATTGTTTAGGGGTTGGATCCACCTGACCTCCCCCAAGTACGGGTTCCACACCACGCACCACCTCTTGTCCTTGATGACGCATAACACCAAGCCGTCCCACTGAAAGACTTGACATATCTCGGCTTCGTTAAGTAGACTCGACTGCGTTATAGATGGATCAACACAGTCGCCGTTCCAGTGACCGTCCCACTCCCAGTCAGGGACTTTCGACTTCGCTGCTAGGTTAAATATGCTTGCTTGCTTTATACATGGCTCAGGGAAGTCGCCCTCCTTTTGGAATCGCTCGAGGTCGAATTCCATTGAACAGAGCTTCGAATCCATCACCATGAACCCCGTTAACTGTTTCCCTGCGCCTGGTTTACCAAATATTTGGTTTCTCGATAAAGCGTTCCACGTTTTACAAGTAGATCTCACTGCCCTCAGAGATGTCAATGGAACCCTAGGTAATATTTCTTCTTCCATAAAATCCTCTGGAAGATACGTTGTCGTCGCCATTTTTTCAACCTTTAAAAACAAAACTTTTCTACGCTCTGCCCTCTCTTCTTCTCTCTATATATTTAGATAAACAGTTATGTTAGGGTACGACCGCTTTAAAATATCTCTTAGGTTTCCTTTTCTTTACTGACTTTCTATATTTCCTTGTTTGTCAAGAAAGTAACTCGAACCAAATTTTAGGGATAACAATATAGAAAGAAAAAAAAAAAGGAAAGTTAGTTGCGTATTCGAAAACTCTCATTTAACTTTTTTCGTTTAATTCGAAAAGTCCTCAAATCTCCTAAAAACCGATCATTAAAATTTACAAATAAACAAAACAAAAATTGCTCAAAAGCTTAGATCTTTCGTCTTCTCTGTTGTTGTTATTTGTTTTATTAATTTGTTTATTATTCCCCTTCTACATCTTCTCCATCTTCTTCGCCTTTGGTCATAGCTAAGTACTCGAGCGCAGTGACTACATCGCTCATCATTGGCCTCGTCCCTGCTTCTTCTTGAAGACACATCGCTGCGACTGCAAGCGCTTGATACAATCCCTTTATCGGGTACTTTCCTTCAAGCAAAGGATCCGCCATTAACGTAAACTTTCTCCTATCTTTGAACAATGGACTCGCCTGCGCATTTTAGCAAAAAAAACAATCAAAGGTCTTGAATGAAAGAAAAATTTCAAGAATCTTGCATTATTATTACCCAAGTGACTAGATTCTGTTCTTGAGTAGGTTTCGTCGTGTCGATCACTCTTCTCCCTGTGATCATCTCCAAGAACACGACTCCGAAGCTGTACACATCGGATTTCACAGTGAGCTGTCCCGTGAGAGCATACTCGGGCGCACAGTAGCCGTATGTTCCCATCACTCTCGTCGACACATGAGTCTCTCCACCGGTCGGACCGACTTTGGCTAAACCGAAATCCGAAAGCTTTGGGTTGAATTCTTCGTCAAGCAATATATTAGAGGCCTTGAAATCTCTGTAGATCACAGGAGGCTCAGCTGTTTCGTGAAGATACTCAAGCCCTCTCGCTGCTCCTGCTGCAACTTTCATCCTTGTGTCCCAATCCAACGGCTTCGTCTTGTTCCGCGCCAATTCTGAAAGACAAACGGTTTAATCTTTAGAAAGCGTTGAAATATGAAAATTTATCAAGCTTTGTATGTTTAGACGAATCCATACCAAGAAGATGATCCTCTAAAGACCCGTTTTGCATATATTCATAGACAAGAATCCGTTGATCGCCGTCTGCGCAATATCCGACCAAATTGACAAGGTTTTGATGATGTAAGAGACTCAACATCATGACTTCCACAAGAAACTCTCTGTTCCCTTGGTAACCATTCCTGTCTAGCTGCTTAACCGCAACAACCTAGACAATACACGTAAGAATCAGAATCAGTTTTGCTGAGCAAGAACATGAAGGAGGTTAAGAGAATGTTCGTAGTAAAAGTACTTTCTCTGTGGTCTCTATCTGGCCTTTGTAAACCCTTCCAAAACCGCCTTCACCGAGCTGATTCTCGGGGTTAAAGTTCTTGGTGGCGACGCAGAGCTCTCTGAATGTAAAGATGTGAGCACTGATGTTCCCTTTCCCGAGCTTTGCTATCTCCTCGGATATGTATCTTCGCCTACTGCTATCTGCAGGTATGTCATCTTCTTTTAGATAAGGAAAGCTTTTAAAGGAGTTTGAGAATGAAAAAGATGGACCTGTTTTAAAAGAGATGTTGTCAAATCTAGCAAGATTGTTCTTTGCATCAATGCAGTCTTTGATGCTTTGTCTCGATGATGATCGTCTGGTAAATCGTCTCTCGGACATACAACAGAACAAGCAATTCGGTTTCATTCTGTATGTATGTGTGTTATATGTATCTTCCTGGATTATTACTACAAGAAGATGATAGATTTACTCGAAGTTCATGGGTGTTTCTTGAACCTCGAATTCTAAAAGGGATCGAGATAATTTTCAGACGAGCAGAATTTGTTTCTTGTGTAAGAAGGCAAAAGGGTTTGCTGAGAAAATAAGATAAAGGTTTGGCCTTTGAAGAAACCAAAAATGAATCTGGTCTCTTTTGGCCTCTAAAGAAGAAGGAACACAACAAAAATGAAATATATTTTTTTGCTACTAAGAACCCTTCCTTTTGTTTGCTCTTTTTATTTTATGTTCCCTTTTTTTTCTCTGAACAAAAAAAAATAGAGAAAAATAAATGGATGGTGAATTTTTGGTGTAAGAATCCATTGGAAGAGAGTTAAAATATCAAATTAGCTAAATTTGGTTTTGTGGGATATGTTCATCCATTTCCTTCCATATTCCTATTAATATCCTCATCTAAATTTGAAGTTTTAGATATCTTGTAGAAGAAACCTTTAAAGAAGAATGATATGCACTAAAACATTGTTCTTCGTAGAAATTACTGGCAGATACTGAAGTCAGTTACAAGCACTTAACACTAAACTGTGATAAAGAAGCTCACAAGAACCGACATGGTTATTATAACCGCAAAGGAAGCTTCTATTGCTTTTGCCTCTGCATGTGATGGCTTGGAAGCAGGAGGCCGAGAAGCAGGAGAAGGAGGACTACTCACTTCAGGCAGTGGCGGTTCCGTGACATCTGAGTCAACTAGTGATGGATATGGAGCTTCAGCTGGTGGAATCAGCCATGGATTCCCAAACTTTATGAGACCACCGGTATCAAACAGACCCAGTTTGCTGTAACATTGGTTCTCTGCAATCAAATATTATCTCAGATATTGGCCCAAGAAAATTTAAAGAAGCTATCAAGAGACAAGATCTTTAATTACTTCTGTATCTTGCAGTGGTTGCAGGGAAGTCAGTGATGATGCCATCGATATTGATACCTCGGATAAAGGTGTCTATCTCCACCGTTGGATCCGCGAAGAAGTCGTACGATTGACTTACAAACTCGTTGCTAAATGTCTCCACGTAAACACGAAGCCCGCTTGATTGGAGCCTGTGAACAACACCTGTCTGCTTATGCGTGACTAACCCATCAATGTAAGGAATCTCCGATCTCTTAGTGATGACAATCGAGCCTGCGAAACCCATGATGTCTTTGATTGCTGAATCTGTGACATCACGGATGTTTTCATCGACACTATAGACCAGCTCCTCGTGTTTCATTTGCTTCTTCTCCTTGAACTTCATCAAGACAGACTTATCTGTGGACTGGATCAAGATTTTTCTTTCACTTGCCTGGCTTTCTTGAGTAGTAGCTTTCTTCAGTTCATCTAATACAGCATCCACCACGCTGATTCCTTGATGTTCTGCTAAATACGCTGCGTTCTAAGTAAAAAACAGAGAAATGCTATATCAAGAGAAATGAATCATGTGTTAGTTATTTCATTTCACGTAAGATTTTGCAACAGAGCCCTCACCTCAACTTTTATCAAGATGCCTGAGAGAGAGCTGTAACGGTTTGGAAGAATCAAGAACTCGGATAATGTAAGAAACTTTCCAAGTCTACCGTTTCTTGGGTTTCTGAGCAAAAAATACTTTTTCCAAGGATCCGAAATAGCAGCTGCAATAAAGAGAACGCAATGCCCATTTTTCAGATATAATCTTCATTAAACAAAGAAATGTGTTTATAGTTTGTAGTTTTGTCCTTACGCTTCAAGGTTTGTATCTGAGACATGGTCAGGCTGAAAGTGAAGATTCCACTTTGCTGCTGAATCTCTGAAACTACTGATGACAGATTTCTAAAGCTTGTCTCAGAGACATCAGTGCTGTTCAAAAGATCTATGTAGCTCAAGCAAAAAGGGATCTTGTCCTTGGACATCTGGACATTGCAATCAAGAATATCAACCCCGTCGCTCACAGCTCTCTGATACGCCAAGTCAGTACAGCCAGGGAAATCTCCACTCGCTCCGTTCAGCGAAACAATACTTATATTAACTGCAACATCAAAATGGATCAGACTGCAATTAAGAGATGTAGAGAGGTCCTATATATTATGCTTTTCTCCGTGCATATAATTACCTTGCTTCTTAGCTTTTTTCTTGTCCAAAGGAGAGAAGCACTCTGTAGAAATCAAACAAGAATCTTGCTTTCTTAGCCTCTATAAAGTATCAAATGGGAAGAGGCATAACAATCGAGATTTTTTTTAACTTACTGATGGCTCGATATGGAGTGACGGGAAAGTCTGATAAGAAACCATCAACGGAGAATTTTCCATTGTCAATGAAAGACATGTACTCCTTTGTTGGATCATAGCTGTAGTTATACGCAAACACAAAATCATTGGCAAAACCCGAAGCGAAAACTCGTAAACCTTCTTTGTGAGCATCTTTGACAAGCGACGTGTGGGGATGCAGGTAAAGATCTGAACCTACAGGCCATATGTAAGATTTTGGAACAAGAATTCCAGAAGAAAACGTTCTTATATAACTTAGGTTCTTGGCATGAGAGCCGTAAGATTGGTTGGTGAAGGGATCTATCTGGTCTTGATCCAGAAACCTAAATATGAGCTTTGTCACTTTCCGTTTGACATCCTTTTTGATGCTCTCCAGGAAACTGATCTCTGGAGAAGATATGAAGTTGAGTTTCAGGCGTCTTGACAGCGAGACAACAGAGTTTCTCATACTCAAATTGCGTTGCGTGTAGAAATCACTGTTCTGTAAGTAAGTGCAGGAACAGTAAGAAGAAGAAGAAAAAGATTTAGTTATGATCATATGGGAGATAAACATGAGTGTATATATACATTTACCTGAATGTTTAACCAGAGGCCTGAAGTTCCTATATTTGCTACTTTTTCAATACGCAATATCGGGTAAACGGAATCGAAAGTATCTGTTCTTGAGTAAACACCCTGGACCACTGTTGAGGGGAAAAGCTTGAGTTGTTACAATCAGAAAAAACGTTGAAATGAAACATATGCAGAGTTGATTGAACAACATTTTAAGTTACTCGCAAGAAGAAGGGTTCTCAAAGAAACAAAGATATTTTAAAACCCACTTACATCTCACATCAGAGAGCTCCTTCCAAGTGAAATCAACAGAAAGTCTTTCTTTGTTGTTTGGGTAAACGCTTCCGACATTAGAACCGTTTTCAAGATTCAGGTTTGGGAAGCAGATTCCGACACCATCCTTTGTTAGTTGAAGATCACACCATAGCGTTACGTCTGAAGAAGTTGTCACATTCACCAATTTATACGCATCCTCGCTAGAATCTGGAAAGATACCAGAGAACCCGCCTCGAGCAATCACAACCGGAGGTTTCCCTGCCAAAAACACACCATTAAATAAAATAAAAACATCATAAGAAAGTTCATTTTGTTAGAAAAGTGAAAGACATGTTCTGTCTCTGACCACTCAATGTCCGCCAAGAACTTGATAAAGCAGTCTGAAACATGAGGAACTGGATCAGAATCAGAAAAAACAATCTAGGGAACGCCATGGTCATGGAGATGATAATTTTGATGAAGATGGAGTGTAAAAAGAACTGTGCCCCCATGAGCTGTTTAGCAATAAGTAACACAAACTACTACCTCCTTAGAACGGAAACTTTAGCTAGAAATGATAATCAGATTCTGCAGTGGCATTAACTGCACCCGTTTCTAAATCTGGGAGAATAATTTCGCTTTTTTGGAAAATGGGACCAGAACAACATACCTAACAAGTGACGAAATTGTCAACCTAAGTAAAGAAATTTAGCATGCGAATGTATGGTGACAAGAGCATTAGAGAACTTTTAGAGCATGAGAATAAGCCTGTTTTCTATAACTGTGTTACCTCCATTGCAATATTCCTTAAACACAGTTCAAGATTTATTGTTGCATATGGGCAATTTCACAGTTTATTTTAAGATTTTCTCATCTTTAGACCAGAGTGTGTATCAAAACATAAGATTTTTTTCATATATAATTAGGCTCCAAAAAAGTTTGTGGTTAACAGAAACATGATGACAAGAAACTAATCTGAGAGACACACAAAGACCACATGCAGTTCTTGGACTAATACAAGCTAATCTCACAAACACACAAGAGATTTCTAACCGACGAATTCAACAAACAGAGAGTATCATCTGCATCCACGAGAAAAACCAGAGTTGCCTAACCATCATTCAGCTTTTGATGGGATCTTGTTGCCACCAGTTGCGATCTTGTATACGTAAAAACAGGTCATGAGCGCACTGCAATACATATATGGTTCTAAGGTTAGAGTCAATATACCAAATCTTGGATGCAAACAATAATCAACAGAATTTCCAAGAAGGAAATGAGAAATGAGGAATTTTTACCTGATCCCAGCAACCAAACCAGCCGGCATAATCTTTTGAGTGAGCAAGTAACGTTGTCCCATGACGAGTGTGAGAGCAGCTGAGATAACTGTATCAAGAAAAGAAAATAACATTCAGATGAGTTTCAGCCAATGGTAAGAAGAACACTAATAAAAATAGATTATGTGAGCTTGTTTGTAATATGTTGTTTGAGACTGGTGCTGTGTATCAATCAAGGCAAGAACACTAATCAAAAGCAGGAATCTACTCAACAACAACATCTTACGGCTCAAATAAGAGAGAGCCCCTACAATCATTTTTTTTTTTGGTGAACAGAGAGCCCCTACAATCATTAATCTTGAGATGAGAAACTTTGCAATTGAATGTTCAATTTGCAGTAAAGACAGCATCTTGTTCAAGCAAACCAATTCAAATAATGCTACAACTGAACATTTAAATTCAACTAAATCATCACACGAATCAGATTCAGATCAGAATATAGCCGGATTACTATTCTAGATCCAGATCGTTAGTGGTCCAATATGATCCTCAACTATCAAGCTTAAGTCTATATATATATAACGACATCTAAGTTCTTGATCCAAAACAGTGAAGCATAAGAAAAAGGAAAACAGAATCAAAACCATTCCTTTCTTAATTGACAAGTCAGTAAAAGCTATTCCAAGTCTTAAAAACTCAAAAAGTCGTCGCTGTAGATCAAAACCTAACGGAATCTTAAGCAAAATCTATAACCCAGATCGCTGAGAAAGGAATGAAACTGCACAGACCTGTCTGGAGAACCACAGCGACAGAGGAGTTCTTCTTCTTCTCGAAAGCCTTGAGGCTGAGAAACCCAGCGAGGATGAGTAACAACCCGGTGCCTGCACCTCCGGCGAAAGATGTAATACTCCCTTTCTTCATGTACCCCATAAATCCTCCTCCGATTAGAATCAGCCCGTACGGGATTGTGAAGCAGAAATCATGCATTTTCTCGGAGCTGGGTTTGGGTTATGAAAAAAGTAGAAACAGGGGAGGATGGAGAAACCTGGTGAGAGAGTGATCGAACCGAATTGATCTGAATGAAGACGACGATGAATTAAGAATTTATGATGAGTGCCTGTGTTGTGGAAAAGGTCCTGCCTTTTCTCGTCAACGGTCTTCAAACAACTAATCCCACTTACGGGCCTAATGATCTGATTAGTAATAAATTCAATGGAATGAAGAATGTTTAAACAGAGGTTCTATAGTATTATTGCATTTAAAAAGTGACAGTGGTTTCACCTAATGTCCAAATGAAAGAATTTTCAACGTTTTTTTAAGGTTTGTGACTTGTGCTTCTAGAACCTTTAGTTTTCTGTCGACATGCCTCTAGAAGAAGAATTTTCGATCTAATCATCATATATTAAAGATTAAAGATAGTAATTCTTGGAGGAAAACAACAAAACACAAGTGCAAGTTTACAAAATTTTTAAGTGAGGAACAATGGTTTATGTTTCTCTAATGGTGTGTGATCAAGAGTCTTAACACACCCCACTGCTTAACATAAACCACCTTGACCCTTGTAGCTTTCTATATATATACTTTGGAACTATTTTTACTACAGCTCTCACTTATGGATATCATCAAGGTCCCATGAGAATTTTCCTTAGTTCTTCATGCCATTTCTTCTGGGTCCAGCATCCAGAGTTCACAAGAGAGGTTAACCAAACCTCATCAGACCTCTTTGGCTCGTCGTCATCGTTCCTATGCCAGGTCCAAAGCGCATGAGTTGAGTTCACCATCTGAAGCTCGCCATGTCCAAAGCTTGCTTCCCTGAAGACTGACCATTCTGGTGATGGATCCTTGTACCTGAAAGTGACATAAATCATGATCCCACTTAAGATAAATATCAACTACTTTCATCATATGGCATGGGCACTCAAAAGTATGATTAGTTCTCGGTAGATACATATGTTAAAATTAGCTTAACAAATACAAACAACTACGATGAAACAGGTTCGTATGGACACATCAAAAAATGAAATTTTGATAAAGAAGTGAAGAGTTTGAGAAATTACTTGCGAGCTAGCCCTTCTCTGTTTCCTCCATCGCCTATGGTTATGTGAACAGGACCACATGTATCTGATTTACCATTGTTGACACGTTTCTGTCGAAGCAACACCATAAACCAATTAACATCATAGGGAAACAAGAAGACAACCTGACATGTTTCTCTGTTAGACTCATAAAAGAAGCTAACACAGTTTTTGAGCATACCGTGCGTTCATAAGCATGGACATGACCAGTGAACACGATATCAACACCGCTTGCATAAAGCAAAGGCTCCATTTCAGCCATCATACCATCGCCTTCATGTTGATGGGCATCGTTACTGTTGTACCACGGTACATGGAAGAGGACTATTAGCCACGGAGTCCTTTCTCGGTCCACCTTCGAGAGATCAGTCTACACATATCATAGATAACAACAGATTTTTAGTACAAGAAACTGTTGATAGTACTAACAGAACCAAAGAAACTACAATGACAATGGTGACAAATGTACTTATAAGCAAGAACTCTCACCTTTAACCAATGGTATTGATCTGAGTTCCGATCATAATCCGTGTACGAGCCAAGCATGATCACATGGACACCAGCAACCTCAAAAGAGTAATAAAGATTCGAACTTGACCCACTCTCCTCATACGGCATCTTCCACCTCGAGTTGAACGACACGAACTCATCCACAACAAAGGGAATATTCTCTTTTTCATGGTTCCCTTGAGTCACCATCCATGGCCTCACACTCGCCAGAGGCTGAACAAGCTCTCCAAAAGTATCCCACTTGTGCTGCATATAGTCAGCATAGGAAAGATCGCCGGGAAGTAGATGCACCGCGTACTTGCATTGATCGATATGATCCAGCGTCGACTTGGTCCAGCCGGTTTGACCAAGATCCCCTGCCACAGCGAAAGTAACCGGGAACCGAGCTGGTGGCGTTTTCAGATGGAGCTCAGGTCCTCCTCCACCGCAACGGTAATAATAAACCGTGTCCGGTTCCAACGGCCCGATGACGGCATGGTGTATCTTCCCTGATCTGTAGAAGATGTAGCTGTAAGAGGTGCTCTCTCCTTGACCAAGAAACGAGTATTTCCCTGGAGATGTTCCATATTCAACAAACGAAGGAGACGACTTGTCATTAGTAACCCAACTCACTCGCATGTGTTTATCTCCAGCCAATGAGATATGCACCTGCAAGTATGAACCTCATCTCAGTCTAAATAGCTATAATTTCTCTAGAACAGCAATTTTTTTCTTCAGATTGGAACAGAAAGATATTCAAAATCGGCATCCATTGTTGTGAAGAAATCAATTAGGAATCGGCATTTTCATCGAAATTAGAAATTAGAAAGAAGTAAAGATTACTTATTTATTTGAAAACAGTAAACATCTGAAAGGAGTTCATGACTAAGCAGGACACGAGCAAATGGAAAAAATCGGATTTTGCGGAGAAAACAAACAGAGACCCACATGCAGTAAGAGAATAGAGGGAGATCAGACCGAAAGAAACATGGGTTTACAGAAACGGATCAAATCAGGAGAATCGGAGAGCCCAGAGAAGAAGAAGAAGATGAAAACAGAGGGAACCCTAGGGAGCTTAATTTGTACCTGCTCGGGTTGAGAATAGGACTTTTGTTTCCATGGAAACTGCAAGGCTTGACGAGGCTTTGGTCGGACATAATCATCTGCCGCCACAGAAGCAAAGATTAAAACGGACAATGTCACAAGCACGGATCTTTCCATCTCTGCGAGAGTTTCTACTTTCAGATTCAGTGAGAAAAAAGGGAAATGGAATGTTTTATAGCTACGCGGGGGAGGCCAGACGACTAGATGACCAAATTGCCCTTGTATATCCCGTGTGAATGTGACGATTTTTGATTTTCAGAAGGGTAAAATTGATAAATTCAGTCTGTTGTCTTGTTCGATAGAATCTCTGTTTTATCATTGCTTTTACTTTTTCCATAAATTTGATTTCTTATGATAGCTGATATGAATCTGCGGCTATTTATTGCTTTTTGCATAAATATATATATATCAAGTAGATTTGAATGTTAGGAACAAACAGTTAGAGGAATACATTATTCAAAATCGTGAAAGCATGACTAACAAAAAAATCATAGAAGAAAAGCTAATTGAAGTATATAAAAGTGGAAAGAAGAAGACAAAAGTAAAAACGGTAAATTGGGTGGGGAGACCAAAGATGTGGTCAATAGGAGCAAATTACAAAAGGGAGGAAAAACCTTAATCCTTAGCTTACACGCAAAAAAAGATAAAACAAAAAGAAATGACATATAAGAACGTCGGCCAACATAAAAATAAAACAAAAAAATAACAAAAGAGTTTAAAACTTTATTATATATACAGTAATACGTTCAATATAGAAAATATTATCCCTAGAGGCACTTATTTCACTTTTTTTTGTTTGTCTCTCACTCTGTCTAAAGCTGATGGTGTATTGGTGTGTATATGTATTTGTTAACTTGAGATCATGCTCTCTTTAGATTGCACATAAGTTTTTATAAATGATTAATAAAGAATATATATATATATATATATATATATATATATATAACATATAGGACCAGTTGTATATGTTTAATAATTAATATTTTCTTCGTGTCACCAATTCAATTTAGTCTTGGTAAAATTGGTATATAGTCTTGGTACGTAGAATTGGTATGTAGATCGTCGAAGAAAATATAACTCAATTTTGTTCAAAAACAATTATTAACTCTTTAACGGATATGATCATATGAATGTGTCTATAGTATATTGTATATACCCGACGAATTATTTAACATGCGTTTGAAACTTTCAAAGTGATTATAGAGTAGATGAACGTGGTTTGCCAAAACCGTTCACCAAATTATATTATGCTGCTATCCAACTAAGAAACGTTAAAAGTTCAAAAAAGGAAAAAACTGAGAAAGTTCTTTCAATTTTTTTACTAGATAGTTTCTCCCACACGCCATTGCGTGAAAAATGTATATATTTAGAAACTATTATTAAATTTATCTTTTATGGAGTATATTATAAATTGAAAAAATTTATTAATTGATAGATGAATATACTAACGTAGCTCAAAATCTGGATTTTGGCTTAGAATTTTGGTTTTGTAGTTTTAGTTTATAAGTAATAGTATTTAAAGTAAAATATAACCTAATATGGATGTTTTCATATATTAATTTCAGAATTTAACAAATAAATTCTTCAATTTTAAAAGAAGTGTAAGTTTTATATTACGTTTTTTTTTCTTTGGAGCATTTCTGGATTTCAAATTTGAAACTAAATCATGGAGACCAGTTACGTTAACTGCTTGTTGCAACAAGATTTACATGCAAAACTCTGTGAAATCAACTTGCTAAGATCTGCATTGAAGTTTCATAGCATTTGGTTGGAGTAAATAGAACTTGAATCTCTTTCGTTCCACTTTAGAATATAATAGGATCACGTTTTATTTTCTTCCTTCGAAAAATATAATTTCTTGAAACATATCATATATGAAATTTTCTTAAGAGCAAACTAAACTTACCCTCAAAATTTCTAGTTTAGAAATAACAAATGAATGCAGTAAGAAAGGAAATTTTGAAAAAACTCTAGCTGCTTTCATAAAGGACCTTTCACATCTCTATTAATTTAACATTTCCGCAACCAACAAATTCATTAGCAACTTTTTTTAGAAAGACTTATTGGTCCAATAATATGTATTTACCAACGTGTTACAATTTCAGTCTTTAAAAGAGTTTTTTTTTTTTTTTTTGGTTTAACTCACCACCATTGACTCCTTAATGTCTTATTATCTCCACCTCTAGTTTATGAAACGTTTTTTCTTCTATATATCAGACAATGTATACAAACCTGCAAGAGAACCTAGCTAGAGAGCTCATTTGTCTTTGATAGAAACTTTGTGTAGAATCAAAGACTGATGGGTTTTTTGTCGAGTATCTTTAGTTGTTTCACAAAAGAATCGTCTGGATCTCGAGATTACATCTGCGACGGTGGTGTTTGTGTTCTACGAAGCTCCAACACCCCAAGACTTCAAAAGAGTTAATGCATCTACCATCTCATTTCTTGAAGCTTTATATCATTATATGTCCAATTGTCTGTAATTGTTTCCTTACGATATTTTGTAGTTTTCAAATTTTCTGAAGATGCAAACCGAAGGAGATCATTATAATCATTTTAAGATAATTTTTTTCATTAGATTATAGATACCATGGGAATTTCAATTATTATTATTGTTTTCTGGCAAGAATTGCAATTATTTATTTCATAAAATTATCTTACTGTTTAGACTTCTGGTAATTCAATTGTGAAATAAACACATTATATATATATATATTTATTTATTTTATAGACTTTAACAAATAAATTTTAAAATAGTTTTATATCGTATAGATTTGAATGGATGGATTGAACGAATGTGGACAAGTGTTTTAGTGGAAAGAAATTATCATGAAATTCTTTGATTATAAGTTTATATGTGGTGATCTAATAAGATCATAGATGTAGAGTTTTGCTTATTTTAGGCTAACTTAAACTATTGTTTTTATAATGTAGGTTAAACAATATTTTGCTAATTTGATTTTAATGAGAACAAAATAACACAATATCTGAAAAGAATTCACAGTTCAATTCTGGTGTGTTAGCACCAATGCAACGAAAAATGTTAATACATCTTAATAGCATTCTTAATATTCAGTAATCCAAACCACTTCTTATGTATATATAAAATTACATCACAAAAATTATAAGTAAAATTCTTAAAATACATTATAGTAATACTGTTTCAGAAAGAAAAGAAAAAAACTTCAGTTTTTGTTGCAAAAATGAATCTAAAAAGGTCAAAATGTGCTCTCAAACCGTTAAATCCGGTTTAGAATTTCAACGACTCTCTCTCGGTCATGGAGAAGCTGCGGAAGGTGGTGAACGAAATCGCCTACACGCGAGACCACAGCAATTCCCCTGCTCTTCACCGATCGCTCGTTCCCGTCTTGACACTCGCTTCTTCTCTCTACGGAGTCGCTCTTCAAATCCGCCGCTCTCTCTACCGCTCCTCCTTCTTCCAGCAACACCGGTGAGCTCTCCGACTTAATAAATTAAATTTTTTTTTTTTGCCGGAGATTCAACGATCAAATATATAAATTTGGTGCTTGTGAGTGAAGATTGCAGATTCCGGTGATCAGCGTTGGGAATCTGAGCTGGGGAGGAAATGGGAAGACGCCAATGGTTGAATACATCACCAAACTACTCGTCGATTCTGGAATCTCACCGCTTATTCTCACTCGTGTAAACCCCTAATTACTTCCCCCATTCTTCAAACCCTTTTACTTGAAATTTCAATCCTCTGTTTTCCATCTTGATGTTGAGTCATGTTTGATTGAAGATAAAGCTTGAGTGTTTGCTGGTGAACTCAGCAGACTCTGCATATTGCCACTAAGCATCTGAAGTCCAGAGACTTGTAAAGTTATGATCTTTCTCATTGTAGGGCTATGCTGGTGGAGATGAAGCCAAAATGCTTGAAAGACATCTTCAAGGTGGACCAACAAAGATCGGTGTTGGAGCAAACCGTGCAGCCACTGCCGCCTCGTTTTTCGACAAGTATGGATGTGCGAATCCTTCTAGTATAAAGACATTCTTTGATCAGTCTCTCCTCCATGAAACAGCAAAAGCCAAGAACGTTTCACAAAAAATCGGGTGTGTGGTTCTTGATGATGGGATGCAGGTATATTCTAGAAGACACATCTTATACAAAGTATAGCTCTATGGTGAAAAAGAATGTGAAATCTTTCACCTTCTTTTGTCTATTAGATCTTATACAAAGTATAGCTCTCTTGTTTTTGTAAATAGCATTGGAGTTTGTGTCGTGACCTCGAGATAGTGATGCTTAACGGTCTGAATCCTTGGGGAAATGGTAACTTAGTTCCCTTTGGCCCTTTACGAGAGCCTCTTGCAGCGCTTGAGCGGGCAGATATAGCTGTAGTACACCACGTGAACTTGGTATGTCAATACATCTGTTTTGTTTCACATTCTTTTAATGATGGCTATTAAAGTTAGTGGCTTTGGCATCATGCAGATAAGTGAACAAAGCCTCAGAGATATTGAGAACATAGTACATGGATTCAAAGAGTCAATCCCTATTTTCTACTCAAAGATGGTGCCCAAATACTTGTTTGGTGTTGAAAATGATAGGTCATATGTAGCTTTAGAAGCATTGCGTGATGCAACTGTGCTATGTGTTTCCGCAATTGGATCCGCTGATGCTTTTGTCAAGAACATCGAGATGGTAATTTTATTGCAACAACGATTCAGTTTTTTTGTGCTGTGATAACTAATGGGGCATGTTATATACGTTTTGACAGATTGGAGCACGTTGTGTTGATAGACTTGATTTCAGTGATCATTATTTATTTCAAGCAGAGGTACAATTTTCTTTTGAGTGCCAAGAAGTGTGGATATACACTTGTTATATTTGCTCAATCAAAAATTGGTATCATATTGATAAGTGCAGGATGTCGAAACTATGAGGAGGAGAGCAAAGAGACTAGAAGAAAAATATAATGCCAAGCCTATCATTGTGGTCACTGAAAAGGTGAAGAAGAGTTTCTGTACCTTGTTGTTACCTGATAGGTAACGCTGTTAAAAGTTATGTCCAGAGAGTTGAATCTAATATTTCATTTTTCTTTTTTCTGGGGAATTAGGATTATAACAGGGATTCGGAGATTCTTAAATGTCTCGAGTACTCGTACACAGTCTTGGTTCTATGCTCTGAGTTGCAAATAACTCCTTGTAGAGGAACTGATGTGGATGGCTTTAAAAGTACAATTTGTAGAATTATGGCTGCTAAGTTTTGTGTTTCCAGTTAGATCCAACGCTATGTGTTCTTGATCTTTGTAAACTAAATTTTTTATATTTTAAGAATGAGTTTAGCTTATTCTTTCATATATGTTAAGCCTCTAGGGAATTATTTATTTAACTTGAAGAAAATAAAAGGCGACCCCCATAAAATTCAAATCCGAACAAAAGAGATTCAAATTCTATTTAGATAGCACTGATGATCAGGGAGACAGTCAATCGGCTGTGAAAACTCAAGTTCGATCTACGAAAGAACTAGGGTTTGAGGGTTTTAAAGAGATCTTTTATCAGAATAAGAACGCTGACCTAAAACTCTTAAGGAAAGTAAATCAAAAGCTAGAACAGTCTGATTGCTTAGTTTGCTCTAGGTCTTGATCAATGATTTTCGGATCATCTGAGAAGTCGAGGACTTCCTGCATTTATAGCCGATCAGATCGGTCTTCAACCTGTTTGGAATAGGAAACTCTTGTCGGCAAGGAGTTTCCTTTTTCCTCGGATCATCAATAAATGGAAGATTTTCATTTATGTTGCTGACCTGGAACTTGTTAGACGGGCCGATTAGAATTCATATCGGGCTTGTTAGAGACGACACGAATCTCATCTCTAACAGTAAGTCCCCCCCCCAGTTCGGCAAGTGAGGATGCATTGCTTGTCGAATTTAAAGAAATGTTGCTCGATGTGAATTCTGGTCGGCTGCAAAAGAGTTAGAAATATAAATGAAATTATTACCTGGGCTTCTGATCAGCGCGATGATGAGGGCCAGATTGTAATTTTGGACGCGAAAAGTTCCCGCCTAAAAATGATGTAGATTAGGCCCATGCCCGTGTATGCAGAACTAGGGTTGACACGTGTCAAACCCTAGCAGGAGGATGCGAAGGGGCCGATTAAAAATATGTAGAAAAAATATGAAAGGTCGCCGAGTCATGATGATTCTCGATAACCGTCCAGACCCTCTTATGAGGACTTCGACTCTCATTTCTTCACTTCTGCATTCTTAGCGAAACTCTGTTGAAATCAGGTTTGCTCTCTTCTCTCTCCTTGTTCTTTGCTTATTTTTAGCTAAAAGTCTTTTCCGATCAGATCTCCGCTGTGTTTTGTTCGTTCTCAACCGCTCGATTTCTCCGATTTGCGAAAACAGCGTAATAGTCAGATATGAGCAAGTGTGTGAAGATCTGCGAGAGCCGACCAGAGGGTAGAGCGGTTATATCGGCTAAGGAGAAAGACGACGAGATCGGTGTTTCTCTAGAAAAATTTCTTCAGATGGAGAAAGACGACCAGGCCGTGAGAGACCGATCAAAGGGAAAAGAGATCGCGAACAATGTAGCGTCAGATCGGTCCTCTGATGCTAGCGAGTTATCCGCGTTAGATCGAGCTTTCCAGGAGCGAGTCAAAGAGGAAAATCAGAGGGCAGCGGCCGAGCGTTTCCACGCGGATCAGGTCGGTGCTGTTTTGAGGAACGGTGAAGCGTCGACGAGGGAACCATTCCTGATCCCCAAACTGCGAGATGAGACGGACGAGAGGGGCGGATCGAACGAGATGGACATCTCCGACGAGCTGAATACACTCATTGCTGAAGATGAAGCGAATCAGTTCGGGATTGTCGATTTGAATCCTCCTGTTAAAAAGGTCAAGGGGAAGAAAGGCGAGCCGAAACCAAAACCGACTTGTGATAATCTCCTTGGGGTATTGCCAACAAAATCGACTATGGAGTCTTTGGTAACATTGAAGGAAGAGTGTGATATCGGCCCTGAAGTCATTTTTATGATACCGAGCCTGTCAGAACGACCATGGGACGCTCCGGAGGGATGGTTCTGCGTCTATGAATGCTTTTTCAGGGATTTTCACCTCTGGTTCCCTCTTCCAAGACTGCTGTTGGAGTTTGCCGATCACAAGGAGATGCTGATCTCGCAATTCTCTCATTCGACAATCCGTTTGATCGTTAGTATGCTGGTGATGTCGACCAGGCATAACATTCCTCTTAGTCGGGCTATTTTTGATGCGATGACGAATACTAGGAGGACAAAGGAAAATTTAAGGAACCGAGGATCATACTATACGAGCATGAAGACCCGGTTCAACATAGTCACGGGTGGTCATAAATCGAAGGTCAACGATTGGAGAGATTATTATTTCTTCATGCTGGTGAACGAGCATTCCATTATTGACCAAGACATCGAGATTCGAACGAAATAGACGGAGGTCATGGGTAGAGACACGTCCGACTTAAAGAATTGTTTAAGATCATGTTTTGAACTTATCTGATTGGTATCTTTAATTTTGCAGGTAATAGGCATCTTCCATTTGTTGACGACTCCCTCGATATTTACAAGATTTCCGAACGATTTGCGGCGATCAGCGCAATCACCTGGCCGGAGATTACGGAAGAGTGGATCAAGAGGACAAGAGGTTGGTCCAACTTGTTTTGCTTATCCTTGTGAATTGTAAGGTCGGCTGACACTTTTCTAATTGCAGTTGCTCTACTTAGACACCAAGACCGGACCGACAAGATGAAATCTCGCCCACTCAAAGATTTATCTGCTGACCTAGAAATGATGTTTGAATCTCCGGGTGCCAAGGAGGCCCAAAATTCCCCGCCGTCAGGGTCTTTAGAACAGCACGGGAATCCGGTCGTTCCAGAGGGTGATCTGGCCAAGGCCAAAGCGGCTGCCGACAAAAGAGATAGGGATTCGGCCAAGGCAAAGAAGTCGGCCGATAAGAGAGCTGCAAGGAAGGCAAAGAAGGCCCGGAAGAAGGCCGAACTGAAAGAGTCCGCAGGTGAAGATGGGCAGAATGCGGACGATGCTCCTGAGAATTTGCAACGGTCGAAGAGACCTCGGATCAATCGACAGCTTCATCGGTTTGGATTTTCCTATGACTATCGAGGGAATAGTCCATTGGTGAGCGATTCGGAATCCTGTCTCGACTATTTTCTCTGTTTGAGGGATCATCCAGATCTTCCTGCGACGGACCCTCGGAGCTTTATTCGCAGCGAGGCAATCGCGCGCTTCGCCAACGATCAGGCCAGGGTAAATTTCTCTTACTGCTCTCTTCTGTTTCCCTTACATATTATCGGTTCTGATGATGTTTACGAATGCAGGCTCTGAGTACCGCACTGACGACGTTATGCGAGTACGATCATGACGCCAAAAGGTGTCAATCCGATCACACGGAGATTGAAGCCGTGAAAGAGGCCCTTGAGGCTGAAAAACAAAAGAACGCCGAGCTCGAGGGCGCGATGCGGGCATCTGCTGAAGATTTGGCGAAGCTCCATGCTGATAACGTTGAGAAGAACAGGCTGCTGAACCGAGCGGTGAAGCAGATTACAAAGGAGAGGGCCGATACCGAGAAGAAGTTTGAGGCCGAGCGCAGAGCGGCTGAAAAAGCAAAATTTTCCTTTGGTCAAGAGGCGGCTAAGCGCGTGGCTGTTGCTGTGAATAACCATTATGCCAGCCTAGTGACGAAGGTGAAGGAATCGCTATCTCGCAAGGAGAAAAGCGAAGAGCTTATTTCAACTGCGGCTCAATGGGCCGGTACGAAAAGGGCCCTTGAAATCGTCCGTAGGCAGGGTTACTCTTTTCCGACTTCGATCGAGGAAAATGTGGAGAAAATGGTTGTGGATAGCAAGGCGGAGCAGGATGCCTTTGAAAAAGTTAGCTTCACATCTGATGAGCTTAAAGTTCCCGAGCCGGAGATTTTTCTCGAGGTTTCGAGTGGTGTTTCGTTAGAGGGAGCCGACGTGGAAGATGACCCAGAAGCCGATAGGAACGGTATAGAAGATGGGCGACATGCAAGAGAAGGCGAAGACACCGAGCTGGGAGACGGTCACGAGGCCGATAAGGAAGAGGAAGAAATTCAGGAAGAAACTGAAGTTTAGCTTTTTTTCTCTTTTTCTGTAATCTATCGTGTTTTCTGATGTATTCGTGCCGTTCTGGCTTTTATTTAAATGAAAGTCTTTAAGAAACTTAGCATTTTTATGAGTTGAAAATCTGAACACAACGGCGATGTGGTATCGGCTTAAGTTTGTGCGATTTAAATTTCTAAGTATTAAACAAACAAACGAATTAGATAGGCATGAATTCGATACTTAGAAAATCTCTTAAGTCGAATACGAACTGCGATCAGGTCGGCTTACATATTCCGCATGGCTTAAGAATTGCAGTGCGGATTCTGGCTCTAGCTTTGAAGTGTGAATACGAACATGCGGGAGGCCAGGCTTATGATTGTTCGTACCACTTCGCATCTAAGTGTGAATACCTGATGTGCGATTCAGGTCGGCGTTGATTCATCAGTACCAGTTAGAAGTATCCGAGTCAAATGCGGATGCAAGACTGACTTGGCTGATAATAACGCATGGCTCGGATATAGGAAAACAGGTAAAACTGTAGAATGCAAGGCGGACTTGGCTTTAAGTTGCCGAGCTAAAGTGGATCAGACTTTAGCTTTAGGCGGATCGAGCATCTGGCCAGGATACCGAGATATTATCGAATCACTTACAAAATAAAGACGACTTGAAGATTACAAGATATTGAGCCCCCCCCCCCCCCCCCCCCCCCCCCCCCCCGTTTTGGGCGGGGGAGCAGTTGCACCATCTGAGGATAGGTTGCCTACGTACCCCTTTCGGGGATCAAACCGCTTCGTAGTTCATAGGGACTATTCCCTTTTTTTTTTGACGATGCCGACCTCGAGGAGGTGTCGATCTAACTGTAATATCTTTTGAGGTTGAGTGAGTTCCAGGCTCGTGGAATCAATTCGCCGTCCAAGGCTTCGAGCCGGTAAACTCCTGGTTTCACTACGTTAGTGATGATGTATGGTCCTTCCCAGTTTGCGCCGAGTTTCCCGACATTCTCTTCTTTGGTGTTCTCGTAGACCTTTCGAAGGACCAGGTCGCCTTTGTCGAAATGTCGATTATGTACTTTTTTGTTGTAGTACCGAGCTGCCTGATTCTGGTAGTTCTGCATTCAGAGCAACGCTTGATTGCGTGTTTCTTCGAATGTGTCGATATTATCGACCAACATTGTTGCGTTTACCTCGGGAATACTCGGGAGAACTCTTCTTCGTAGGCTTCCGACGTTGATCTCCGCAGGGACCATAGCTTCGCATCCGTACGCGAGTGAAAAAGGAGTTTTCCCGGTTGCAGTTCT